CTTTCCATGGAATATTTACAATGTAAACTGATAATTACTTATGATTGTTTTGAATTACCAACTCTACCGAAAAGGGCAAAAGGAAAGAAAAAAGGAAGGTTCTTTATCATGAATACCATAAGCTCATTGATGAAGAAAGAACTTAACTATACAAACATTATTATAGCAACATGAGTGGAACTTTAAATGAAAGAAAAATATTGCACTCACGTTCCTGCTACCTGAAAATTAATCAGGTCTCGTTTTTCATTTTTTAGGTTTCTTTTGTTGCATTTATTAGATGGAATGTTGTTCATTTATCATTTCCAAACTGTAAGGCACACAGCCCAGGTTTGTTTTGTTTTATTTTGTTTTGGTATTATAATATTGACATGGAAATCTTTATGCAAGTTTAGGAAAAAATTTTGGATTATTTTCTTAGAATAAATCCATGGAAATAGGATTTCTGAATCAAAGGACATAACATTTTAATGGTTCTCTACTATGTTAACTCTTCTTTCAGAAAGCGTTATCATCCCCGTTTACTCAATGCAGGTACAAGTGCACCAACTCACCAGTCCCGGGCATTCTAATTTGAAATCAGATCGATATAAAGTGATATCTCATTGCATTTTAATGATTATTCCTTTGATTATTAGAAGGGTTGAACTTTTCCCTGTATTTGTGTTTACTAATTATAATTTCTAATTTTTGATGCAAACTGTTTGATTATGTCATATATTCATTTGTGTCCAGGGAGCCTTAATAACGTTCTTACCAATTTTTACAAGCTCATTTTAGTGTAGGTATTAACCTTTGCTTGTTTAGTTACTGTCAATATTTGATCTGTTGTGTTTATTTCCAGTTTAGTTTTTTTGTTGTTGTTTAGCACGTTTTGAATTTTCAAGGATAAACTTATTGATCATTTCCCTTACAGTTTCTTCTATTGCCTCAAAACTTAGAAAGTTATTACTCCTCCAGAGATTTGAGCTGAGCTTGTTGTCAAACCCAATGAGCTCCTAGTGCTGTGGCATGCTGGGAACTTAATGGTAATGGGAGTTGAGTAAGGAAATCAGGACAGATAGAGCTAAGGTTATACCATAGTTGTAGTGTTAATTTGTGTTTGTGTGTGTGAAGCATTTTCCCACAGAGAAATTATGCTGTCCTTCCTGAGAACTATCAATACCTTCAGTGAGGCTGGTACCCATGAGACGAGACTATGTGGTAAGAAGAAAGTAGGGAGTGTGGTGCTTTATGGGAAATTCAGCTTCAGGGAAGTAGCCAACTAGTTTATTCACATTCAGAATGATTTTTTGGTTCTGTTTTGGTTGTTTGAGATGAATTGATTGTAAATAGAAGTCTACCTAAAACATAGCTCCGGAAAAGAATGAAATCTCACAATGGTGCAACTGTTGCTACATAGTTTCCTGCTTGCCCTCAAATTGACCAATTTCAGAAGAATGGTGGAGATCTCATCTTACAACATGTTGTAACGAAGAAGGAGGGGTTAAGAAATCATACCGCCTCATTGCCACATGCCTGGAGTACTTACAAGAACTAGAGATTTTCTGGAACGCCCTTGGTTCAGTTATTCTATTTTGTTGATGGATGTTCACTCCTACTCGTCAGATCATAGGCCCTAACTTGTGTTCAAAAGGTAGATTCACCACAGGAATTTGGCAACAGATTCCTAGCTGATGTTCTCAACCTCGTTCTTCTCTTCTAATCCGTTTTGCTTATCTTTGTTTAAGAAAAAAAAAGAACACAAAAAATTATTTTACTGAAGTTATATTGGCTTATCATATTGTGTAAATTTAAAGTGTACATTATTGTATATCAGTTTCTGTATAGACTGCATCATGTTCACCACAATCTAGTCTAGTTTTTGTGTATCACCACACGTGTGTGCCCCTTTCGCCCTCTACCCTCCCCTTCCCCTCTGGTAACCACAAATGTGTTCTCCTTATCCATGTGTTTTTTAATCTTCTATATATGAGTGCCAATGCTTAATTTCAGAAGCTCTAATGGTTCCCTACTACTCATTGCAACAAGCCCAAACTTCTTTTTCCAGGTTTAAAGACCCTGCCCTACTTAGGTAACTTTTTCTCTTGCTTTCTGGACACTCACATTTGCTCCAGGTAAGTACCTCTGGCCTCTTTTCTTTGCAATGCCCTGTTCAGTCCCATCTGTTACGCCTTTGCTTCCCTTCTGTCTTAGTCTATTTGGGCTGATAAAACAGAGTATGATAGACTAGGTGGCTTATCAACAACAGAGATTTATTTCTCAGTTCTGGAGGCTGGGAAGTCCAAGATCAAGGCACCTGCAAGTTTGGTGTCTGGTGAGGGCCTGCTTCCTGATTCACAGATGTGTCCTCGCATGATGGCAGGGACAAGGGAGCTCTCTGGGATCTCTTTATATGAGCACTAATCCTATTCATGAGGCTTCTACCCCCAGGACCTAATCACCTCCCAAAGGCCTCACCTTCAGATACCGTCACACAGGGGATTAGGTTTCAACATATGAATTTTGGGAGGACACAAACATTCAGTCTGTAGTACCTTCTATGCCTAATGCTTCCTTCTTGGAGGCTTTCCCTCCTTTCCTCACTTAAAACCAGACTCACTTGTCAAGTGACTTGCTCAAGTGTGACGTTAAACAAAATAAAGCACATGTAGAGCTCACCCTCCCGGGAAGTTTTGGTGCCACTGCATAGGTAAGGCTCTGGGTAGAATCTTATCAAAGGCTGCTCTAGCCTCTGAGAGGTGGTTTTCCCTTGGTGGTTCTCATGTGTCTACTGTTTTTTCTTGAGTCAGTGCACAATTGTTGGGCAGCATCCTGGTTCTTAAGGGATGCTAGATAGGCCCCCACAAATGTGATCTGTATATTGAAGGTATTGGCCTTGGGTGCTATGCCAGGAGCAAATCACTTTATTCTTTCTTATCACTACCTTCAAATAAAACTTTCGGGGCTGGCTCTGTGGCCGAGTGGTTAAGTCCGCGCGCTCTGCTGCTGCGGCCCAGGGTTCGGATCCTGGGTGCGGACATGGCACCGCTCATCAGGCCATGTTGAGGCGGTGTCCCACATCTCACAACTAGAAGGACCTGCAACTAAGATATACAACTGTGTACGGGGGAGTTTGGGGAGATAAAGCAAAAGAAAAAATTGGCGACAGTTGTTAGCTCAGGTGCCAATCTTTAAAAACAAAACAAAACAAAATAAACTTTCAAATAAACTCCACTGCAAGCTTCGTTTTTTTTTGTTTTGCTGGACATTGGGGATTAGAGCAGTTCAAGTTATTAAAAATTCTAGCCCAAGCTAAATCAAGACTTTAATGACATATCTGATTAAAAGCTTCTCCTTCTATGTTCTTCCAGAGACTTAAAATGGGAAGGGGAGAGGCAAGGTCTGCCTTTTCTTTCTTCTTCTCACCACCTCTTGCCCCTGCTTGCCAGATACTCCAGAGTTAGTCTGTGGGGAGGGGCTAGAGTTGAGGGATATATTTTTTAAATCTAGTAGGTGTTAGTCTGTTAAAACCCTCTGCATAGCAAACATTCAAATATTGACCATTTTTAAAATAGTGGACTTTTGTGGGTTCTTTGGGGAATCCCTATTGGAGACCTCTGACTTTGCAACGTTTCCTGACATGGGCGAGGCGTTCTCTTGCCGCCCTCTTCTGATATGCCCTCCACTGTACTCCAGCAGTTGACACTGTGTAACCTTTTTCTGCTGAGAGAGCCTGGAGCCTGGTGGGCAGTATTCTTGAGTGAGGTCCTTTCAAGGAACTCTAGCCTGGTTATCCTTTGCAGCACCCATTTGGCCCACAGGTAACCTGGCAGGTTGCTTCTTTCAAGTCTGGAAGGGCAGTGTTCTTTCTTTGCTCTCCATCATAGGCAGCTGCAGCCGGCCTCTTCCCTTTTCTAGGTGAGAATCAGGCACTAGTCTCTGTGCTCCTCAAACTCCAGGGAACACAGTCAGAGCATCTGTGGTAGGCAGAATAATGGCCCCCTGCAGACATACACACCTTAATCCCTAGAACATGGAACCTGTGAATATATTACCTTACATGGCAAAAAGGACTTTGCAGATGTGACTGAGGTTATGGACCTCGAGATGGGGGGATTATCCTGGATTATTTGGTGGGCTAAATCTAATCATCTAACCCCATGAGTCTTTACAAGTGGAGACCCTATCCCAGCTATAGGCAGGGAGGGAGCTGTGACTACAGAAGCGTCAGAGAAATGTGACACTAGAAGGATCCCTTCCACCATTGTTGGCTTGAAGATGGAGGAAGAGGCCACAAGCTAAGGAATGCAGTGACCTCGAGAAGCTGAGAATGATCCTCAGCTACAGCCAGCAGGAAAACGGGGACCCAAGTCCTTCAAATACAAAGAACTGAATTTCACCAACACCCTAAATGAGTAGGAAACAGATTATCCCCTAGAGCCTCCAAAAACGAACTTAGCTTGCTGACACCTGGATTTTAGTCAGGTGAGACCCCTACTAGACTTCTGCCCTATAGACTGTAAGATAATAAATTTGTGTTGTTTTAAGCCACTAAATTTGCACTAATTTGTTATGGCAGCAATAGAAAACTAATATACTCTCTCCCAGATTTTCTCCCTGGGTCTTACTGGTTTCTGCCTCTTTGTAAGTGTGGGGTAAGAGGGAGGTAAGATTGTATCCTTCCCTTGACAGGAACTCTCTACCTCCATTCTCTACCATTGCTTTTCTTGAAGCTTCTCTCAAGCCAGCCCTGATGACCTACTGGTTAAAGTTTGGTGCTCTCACAGCTTTGGTGGCCTGGCTTTGCTTCTCGATTGTAGAACCACACTGCATGTCTGTCAGGTGCCATGCTGTGGCAGTGGCTCACATAGAAGAAGTAGAGTGACTTATAACTAGGATATACAATCATGTACTGGGGTTTTGGGGAGAAAAAAAGTTGAAGCTTCTCCCGCATGGTTTGGGAAGGCAATGGTGTGTTTTTCTATACCACTGGATTGACAACTTTGTTAGCACTCTTTCTTATATATAGGCTGGAGGTGGATGTCTTGCTGTGTCTACCACCTTATTTAAGCACCTTACCTCCTCAGTCACAGTGCAGAGGCAGGAAAAGCCTCATTTAACCTCGTTGGACAATAACAATCGTAAATCTTGTCCCTTGTTCTGTGTTTCAGTGCTTGCGCATATAGACCATCTCTAAGCATTTCCATTACTCTCTAGCTACTTGAATTCCTCTGCCAGCCTAGGTCTCCTGTATGGAGATCCTGTTACTGATTGTCCTCTGCATTTTGATGAACACATCCCTCATGCTGAACTCTGTACACTTTAGGTCCTATTACTTGTCTGAAATTAATTTCTGCGACCAAGTCAGTTCCTTCAGTCTCTCATTCCATTTTATGAAAATTGCCAGCAGGACATCATCCTTTCATCTGCACCTTCCACAGCACAGACAGAACCTCAGGTTTGGAGGAGTAGAGAGGACCCTAAAGATCAGCTGTTTCACTACTTCTTTCTTCCCACTCCTTACTGTCATCCAAGATAATGCATATGTAAGATCCACAGAGGATCTCACCACTTGTGGTGGCAGCTAATTCCATTGTGGAGACTGTCTTTGCGCTCCTGAGGGCAAGGACCAAATCTTATCCATCGTGGCAACACCAGCCCCAACTCAGAGCCTGGAGTATGGCAGTAACTCAGTGAATGAATGAGTGAATTAATGAGTAATTGAACGAATATTGTTGGGCCCAAAACTGACTTCTCTGGGTTTCCATAAAGTCTTCCTTAGGATGATTCAGAATGATTTAAATCCCTTCTCTACAGAATGGCCTTTAACTATATAAAGTTATCCTGTCCTAATTAAGTCTTTTTTTATTATCTGATATATTTTCAGTCCCCCAAAGGAGAATCCTACACATCAAATTACAACCCTTTCTACTTTAGTTGTATGATAGCCTCCTGAGGAATGTACAGTTTTCTGGAACACATTCAGCATGAGGGTGGGCCGGAAGTGATTGTGCAACTATTGCAAAAGTCTGTGGTTTAAATCTGTCCAAAAGTCTTATCTCAGCAGTGCAGATGCAGGACTCTGCCAGTAGTCACAGCTTCTCTGTTTCCCATTGTGTAGTCTGCAGATAGCTCTGATGAGGACAGAGGGTTTATATGGAAGGTGTCTTGATGTGTTTTCAGTGTAACAGGATATCGAATGGGACTTTTCATGATGTCTTCAAATTTCCTCTGAAGCCCCAAAGGTGAGAACAAAAGGTGATAAGTATCCCCAGATTTCTGAATCAGGTACTAGCACTGGACATATCCATGCAGACATTGTCAAAAGACAGCAAAACTGGTAGGTACAGTGACTATCAACCTCCTTCACACACCTCCAACTGTTTCAGGAGAAAGGGGATTAAAGAGGCTCTGGGCAGTGGACAGTGTTGTGGCATTTCCCTTTCTCTTCTTATGAGGAGGCCCTTGAGAGGACTGGGGGCTCTAGCAGTGTCCCTGGGATTGGAATAGAGCAGAGTGAGAGAATTCGTGGAGAAATGGATATGTGTCTTCTGGAATTTAGGGACGTAAATTGATGGAAACTGGTGCTTGCTCCTGCCTGATGAGTCTGGAGTGTGGGAGGCTGGTCAGAACAACCAGTGAACCCTAAATGAATGAAGAGGGCAGCAGTTAGAGCTGTCTGTATGACGAGAATTTGTAATGGTGAGGATATGTGCTTTCCAGGAGTTACAATGGAAGATAGCTGGCATTGAACCAGGAGGGGACCCCAGCAATAAGCTGCTATCTGGTTTATTTCTGAGTAGGAGCTGAGATGTTTGCAAGAAACTTCTGGCAGAAGTGAGAGAGTGTGTTTGCTTTGAGGGGAGGCTTTTCAGCCAGGTAGACACCACAGGGAGCCTTTGAAAGTCTCACAAATGTATCCCATTGGAGAGAGTCAGCATATAGGCTCTTCCAACATCAAGGCCATGGTCTACTGTATTATAACAGTCCCTACCACAAAAGATACATTTAGTCATTTTCCTCTAATCCCCCTGCTCCATGTTTTGACCCTGGAGAAGCCAGAAGCAGCAGGGTGAGGGGCAGGAGGGTGAAGGAGATGGAAGAAAGACAGATGGCACTTCCTTTCCATGCTGTAGGGCTGTAGTCCTCAGGTCACAGGTTGGGGTAAGGCTAGAGGTATGGTGAGGGGGAACTCTGAATTGGATATGTGATTGAAGTTTTAACTAGGACTTTTAAATGAGTTTTAATTCTTGAAAATAACTTAAGAATCTATAGGATATGCCTGAGATGTTGCCCAGGGGTGGAGAAGGGTGATTTGACAGAGCATGTTGGGAAGGAGTGATTAGAAAAAAATAAAACTCTTATCTGTTATACACCACTGAGTTTTGCCCATTCGAGAAACTGATTAAATAGCAATTTTAGGTAAATTCCAAGGAGGCCAGGCCTTAGGGATGGGTAGGCAACAGACTGTTCTTTGGGACTTTGGTATTATGGACTCTGTTTTTCTGAAGTTTTTGATATTGCTGTTTAATTTTTTAAAAGTTTTTATTTTGCAATGATATTACAACTCAGAAAAGTTGCAAAAAAATAGAGTTCCCCTATATTCTTTCCCCAGCTTCCCCTAATGTTAACATCTTATATAACCATACTAGAATGATCAAAACCGGGAAATTAAGATTGATGCAATACTGTTAACTAATCTACAGACTTTAAGTTTTGCCAGATTTCCCGTGAACGTTCTTTTTCTGGCCAGAATCCAATCCAGGATCCCACATTGCAGTTAGTCGTAATGTCTTCTTTGTATCATTAAATTTTAAGATTGGAAAAGACATTAAAGGTCTTCTTGATGAATCACCATGTGGAGTCTTGAATTCCCTCTATAAAAATCCCTGTTAATCATATTTTTGCAGAAGATGCCTCCAGGGCCAGTCTGTTATAAATGGGACCCAGGTCTGTGAGAAAGTCCAGAGTGATGTTTTGCTTTCTTAAAGCTTCCACCAGTTGGTTCTGGTTCTTACCTTTTAGAACAAAACTATTTTCCCTTCTACATGACAGCCTTCAAAAATTTGAGGACCATTATATTTCTACTCCCTCTGGAAACCCCACTCCCCACTCCTTCCACCAAATCCTTTCTGCTTTAAGGTGGACATTTTCAGTTCCATCAACTTTTCCTCATATAACATGGTTTTAGGTCATCCTACACGTGGGTCACTATACCCCAAACAAGCTCGAGTTGCATATATAGACGTAGATGTGGGCGTATCCATCTATTTATCTATGTAGTGCCTGAACAGAGAAAAATCAAAGCTATCATCCTCCACATTCTATAGACTGTCTCTGCAGGCAAAGATTACGTGACCATTTGTATAAAGGTAGGCAGGCCCTACGTAGACATGCTAATTTTAAATAGCCATTTTCAGTGAACTTAAGTAGGTAATCTAATCTCCTGTGTCAGTTGCTAAGAGAAGTTTGGCATCTTTCTTAGAAATAATTTCTAGAGTGGAAACCTGGACAAGGTAGATAAGTTTTCCATACATGATTGGCTTGGCAAGATTCTAATTGAAAATGGTGCCCGGCTAGAGGATCCTGTTATATCTTCTCCAGAAAAAGAAAAGGTGATATATTTTCAAAAATTAGAACAAACTCTCAATGTATTGGCAGAATCTAGGATAACTTCCATTTACTGGACAGCTGATGGAAATGGATTGAGAAACACAATGTTGCCTGAAATATTTATGTTTAAAAAGAATTCTCAAGACGTGTTTTATCAGTCTTCTACTGCCTGTACCCTGGTTCAAAATGCAGGGTACGTTTTGACCTTACCTGTACTGTGTGAGTATTGCTAGAGGAGAGGCCTGGAGTACTTCTCTCCTCACTGTTCCCAGGGTACCTCACTTTCCTCACACTCTCAGAGTCTGCAGTTTCCAGAGATGAATGGCAGGAAGTGCAAAGGGATTGGAGATGGTGCACTTCATCTTGGAGATAAGCTCTAGTATGAATTCAAGCTAGAACACTTTGCATCTGTTCAGGGAGTGAGAGAACCAGCAATGGAGATACAGCGACTCTAGATGAATGTCTGCTTGATCCTGGGAATCAAGCCAAGGAATTGTCAACAGCTTTCCCTCCAGCAATGGATTCCATAGAGGAATTATACTAGCACTTAAGTGATGAGAAAGAGAAAAGCAGTCCCTGACATTCAGGAACTAGCCCTTGGTGGTGTTGTAAGCAGGCCTGGCACTCACAGCTAAGTCTGATGTGCTCTGGTTGGACATAAGCAGTTTCACAGAACATCAGCATCAGACAAGGCCACTCCATGACCACAATGCTTCAAAGCCAGAGCAAGAGCACTCGGTAATTATGTATGAACACAGACAACACATGAACATTGTCCAAGTCACAAAATGCCAAACATCCTTTGCCAGCTAAGATGAGTGATGGCTGCTTCCTTGTCAATTACAGTCTGCCTTCCTTGTAAATAAGACTTATTGAGATACCCAATTATAAAATTGTCCCTGTTTTCTGACGGTGCAAGATCTGCCAAATCACCCAACTGAATCCCAAATCCTATAATAAGTTTTTCCTAACATCCTCTTACTGAAATGTCCATGGTTCCCCATGGCATGCATTCTGTCTCACTGCAACTGGTTATAAGTCCAACTTGTTCAATCCATTACTGATGGTCTTTGGCTTGAGGGCATTGATGGTGGACAGACAGTGGGACAATCGATACTTGGCAAATACCCATTAAAGGTATCTCTTCTTTGAAAGATAAGCAAACAATAAAATGAAACAAGACATAGAGTCTAGGGAAAAAATTACCACTGAATAAAGAAAAAAGAACTCTATCCCTAGACTTAGTTAGGATCCCAAGCTATACCTTCCCATAATTCCATTTTTGTACTGTTCATCATAGAATTCCAAAAAAACTAATATTTAACAGGAGAATTAAAATCCTAATTGGAAGTATTAAGGAGCCAAACTGATACTGTAGAATATGGAAGTGGTGATATCAAAAGGAAACTTTAGAGGTTTTCCTAGAATGCAGAGAAAGATAATGGGAAAACACGTCGTGGACAGGAAGTGATTCAACCCAAGAAGTATTTGTGTTCCCAACGAAGAAATAAGAGTGAATGTAATAGAAGTAATGCTGGTTACTGTAGATTGGCTTCCTTGGAATGCATTCCAACCCTCTGATAGTATGCAGAGACTGGAAAGCCAAATCCCACTCTTTCCAGAATTGCTTGCAGTTTTGGATGTGATTTAAGTTCTGCAAGACGATGCACTCAAGTGAAACTGGATTTAGAACTCAGTCACGTGGGAGAGAGGGAAGTTGTGGGGCATCCAGTTTTCTGGTGCTGATTATGGCAGAGGCGACTCTAGAGGCAGCTTTCCAGTTCACTGATCAGTTTCCTGATGAGGATGGGGCGGCTGAGTTCCAGAGCCAGCAGGTGTGGCAGTGGCTCCTGTCTTGGCAGGCAGCCTCCTGATTCTACACTCCCTAGCTGTGGCTGGAGCAGCAGCTTTATTGGCAGCCCACTTCTCAGAGGTGCCTTTGGGAGTCGCTCATGGAAGGTCAGTCTAGAGCAGCACTATCCTACAGAAATGTAATATGACGCATAGATGTAATTTAAAATTTTCTAATAGCTGCAGTTAGTACAAAGAACTAGGTGATGCTAATTTTAATAATATATTTTATTTAACCCAAAATGTCCAAAATATTACCATTCCCACATGTAGTCAATATATCACATTCTTTTTTTTTTGTACTGATGCATATCTCATTTGAGAATAGCCACTTTTCAAGTACTCAGTAGCCATGTGTGCTTCCTATATTGGACAGCACAGGTCTAGAGTCTGTTTTTCAGTTCTCCTGGTGATTTAGTGAATAATTTAATACCTTGTAACAGATCTCTCTGCTTAAACTGGTGAGTTGTGTTTTCTGCAGGTGAATACTAGCTGATAGAGAAGCAATAACTGGATAAGAATAAACATGAAAAAGATTCAATATTTACCAGCAAAATTAATAAAAAGAAAACCATACCCAGACCCACTCAGACAAATTCTTTGAATTGTAAAGATAAAGAACCTCAGATGCATCCAGACAACCTCCCCTGCCCCCTTGCAAATCTATTAAAGAACAATATACAGATTGGCCTCAGCCTTCTTTCCTGCAAAACTAAATGGCAGAAGGAAATGGACCAATGACTACATATATATTTGGGGGATAAAAGATATGGCTTGAGAATTTTATACTCAGTCAAGTTGTTTTTCAGGTGTAAACAGAGCAGAATGACCTTTAGGTATGCAAAGACTCATGAAATATAGCATGCATAGAGCTTTCTTGAAAAAGTTCTTTGCAGTTTTTTTCATATCATATTTTTTCATATCAACAGATTTTTCCCTGTTTTGCTTCTGCCTCTTTTTGTTTCATAATTTTTTTGTTCTTTTTTTCCTGGCTATTTTTCTTTAATTTATCTTTTGAGGATACTAAAATATATTTATTTTTAAAAAATTTAAAGTGTGTCCTTTTTATTTTCTTAGTAGTGATTGGTAGTGTTGGTTATCTTTCTTAATATTAGTTTTCTGGATTTCAGTTTGCAGGCCTTTCTTGGGAAGGAGGATGGAAGATTTTATTTCTTTATTATTCTGTCTATTGCTTCTCTCTGATTCCCCCCACTCCCCATTCTAACAGTTTGAGGTTTGTCTCCACCTGGTCCATGGAGTCCCCAGGTCTTGTATCAGCTGCTTGGTGTTCCTGCCCCACAGGGATGTTGGGGCTATCACAGATACAGTCCCTGAGCCCATAGATGATCTGCCTGGAACCCAAGTGGAGAGGCTGAGGCTTGCCTTCCTAAGCTTGCAGCATTACAGGTGCTGTGGTTGTGGTCACAGACAGCAATCGGTAGCAGCTGTTTTTGTCCTCCCTTCTTGAGGTGGGGGGCCTCACCTTAGCCCCTGGTCCCAAGCCAGGAGCCCAGACTCCTGTGGGCTATTCCTATTCCTGTCGCTAGGGGCTACAGTCAGCTGGTATGCTCTGGGGTGACCCTATTGTTTTACAGCCAGAGTTTGTACTAATTGGTTTCAGCATCCGTCCTCACTGGTTGGTGCCTGTGCGGTGCTAGTTATTAATATTAACAATATCAATCCTGCTTGTTACCCCACAGAAGCTGAATTGCTGACCACCTCAGATTGCTTCTGACCTGGAGCCCAGCAGGCCTGTAGCTTTATCCCCATTTATTGCTTTTCATTTTGGTTCTAGTCTGGGACGTGTGTTCATTTTGGTTTTGAGCATGCTTTTTTTCTTCTGTATTTATCTTTTATGCAAAGGAGCAGAGGAGAGGACCTCAAAATAAATACTTACTATTTCATTTTCTTTTTTTGAAGATTGGCACCTGAGCTAACATCTGTTGCCAGTCTTCTTCTTCTTTTTCTTACTATGTCATTTTGACAACAAGTTTTCTTGAAGTTGTGGTCCAGATGACCAAGACATTTATCAAAATGAAAGTTATAGTATTAAAGAGTTGGTGGAGAGTGCTGAAATTTTTAAAATAAAGTCTAATTGACTAATTGTAGACACAAAATTAGGTGTTAAAATTCTTTAAAGTGAATATATAAAATTTAAAATTAATAATTTTCCTAATAATGTAGTGTTATTATAATATGTGAAATAATAATAAACACTAGAACTTGGGAGTGGGTGAAGAGAAATAAATACTACAAAATTAATATGCACATTTTAAACAAAAATTCACATGCGCTTATAAATGGGGGAAAAAAGAAAGAGAGCACACAATTTATTTAAATAATTCATGGTTTAAAGTGGACATTACAAACTCCAATTATAGACTATTTAGAAAATATGGAAAATGAGAATACCATAAGGGATGAGGCCAAAGTTGTGTTCAGAAGCAAATTGATATTCCCAAGGGAATTCATTATTCAACAAGCAAGGCTTTAACCCAAGAAAAACAAACTGAACCAAGTTAAGGAAAGCAGTAGTAAGAATGAAGTATTAAATAAACTTAACACAAACCTTTGAATTAGACAACAGAAACAATATAGATTTAATACATTAAGCTAAGAGCTGATTCACTGAAAAACCACTATCTTTATCAAGAAAACCTTGTGAAAATAGAGAAGAAAAAATTAAAAAGTTAAAAATGAGAAATAGGATAAAATCAGAGACATAGAAGAGGTTAAGCTTTTATATAAAGAAGTTATTTTTTGTAGGAAGAATTACCAAAGTTTATAGCTGATAATACTGTCATGTATAACTGAAATTTGCTGAGAGTAGAACCTAAATGCTCTCACCAAAAAAAAAAAAAAAAAAAAAAAAAAAAAATGTGAGGTGATGGATGTGTTCACTGGATGGAGGAATCCTTTCACAATGTATATGTATATAAATCATCACAATGTGCATTAAATATCTTACAATTTTATTTGTGAATTATACCTCAATAAAGCTGAAAAAAAATAGTGCTCCATTTAAAAAAAAAGTGATAGAGGAATAAGTAAAAGAATATTGGCAAAAATGTTGTTTACTGTTGAAGCTGAGTAATGGATATGTAGGGGTTCATTACACTATTCTCTCTACTTTTATGTACGCTTAAAACTTTCCAGAATTAAAAGTTGAAAAATTTATAAGAGAATGTTGTGTCTGACTCTATGCTGATACATTTGGAAATCTCCCTAATGAAGTAGATGGTTTTCTGAGAAAACACATTACTAAAACTGACTCAAGAAGTGGAAAATCTGAATAGAACAACAATCCTGGAAGAAATTACAAGAGAATTACCTCCAAAAGAGATTTTTAAGATCTGATAATTTTATTAGTGAATTTCTTCAAGAAACGTATAATTCTTGTAGTCTGTTAAATAGAAATAAATGATACCATCAAATTCATTCTATAAAGTTAGCACAACCTTACTACTAAGACCTGATAGATGAACAACAAAAATGTCAAACTGTAGAACAGCTTTATTTGCAAATATATATGGGAAATTTCTGAGTGAAATAAGAAGGAAATGAAACTCAGTTGCATTCAGTTGATCGATCTCCTCCTAATCAATTTATCAGATTAAGAAAAGATCATCATTTCCTCTGTGAAACATACTGACTGATATTCACAGAAGGACAAATCTTCATACCAATTTGCTCTGGTGTGTTCTTGCTGGTTTACTCTGATTATGACAGGTTTCCAAACCAGTTTGTGTCAACTGTACTTCTTTATTTATGTAATGTAATTAAATATTTATGTACACTGATGAAATACGAGCATGGAAAAAAGAATTGTTCCTGTGAAAGCTAAATTGAATGTATTGGAAAAACTCAGTGCAAGTGAGTCAGTAAAAAATTAACTTAGGTAAGGATGAGACAACTATAAAATTTGAGAAAAAGTCACAAAAGTCTAGAAGTCTGCATGCATATTGTTTTATAAACAACTTACAATTCTGTTCTTTAAAGAAATAGGGAGTATCTTCTTTATGGGAAATAGCAATCCATTTGGGATTTAATTTAGGTAAAAAAGATGGTACAGAGTTCTAATTAGCAAACTGATAGTCAAAGAAAAGACTTTTCCCTACATATTAGGTAAGGTAACACTAGCTGTTATACTAGACAAACCCCCAAATCTCAATGGCTTGATACACTAACCAAAAATCAAATCTTACTCAAATAAGTTTAATATTAAAGGGAAATTACTGGCACATGTATAGGGATTATATTAAAAACATTTAACAACCAGTGCAAGATGAGTATTGGCCAATTAGAATGGACACTCAACTAATAAGAATGAATGCAAGCCATGTACAACCAAGAGGGCTAGTCCAGTGTGTACAAGTGAATAGATATACCTGGGCTCATGTGATTGAAAAATCCTGAAGCAGGCTTCCTTCAGGTAAGGCTTGATCTGGTGGTTCAACAATATACCAAATATACTCAGTTGATCTCTCTGCTCCACTTTCTTTGCTGTGAACTTGTCCTAAACTGATTCTCCAAGATGGTTGACAGCAGCTCTTAAGGTTATGTGCTTCAATATTCTTGTTTAGCAAGAAATAGGGAATATTTTTGTGTCAGCCTTTATAGCAAGACTCCTGAGATTCACCCTGATTAGACTGACTTGGGTCACATGCCCACCCTTGTGCCAATCATGGGCATGGCTTGTGTTGATTGACTTGGTCAAGGTCTATACCCAACCTGTTGTTGCAAGGGGAGTCAGATTTTCTTGAACCACTTGGATCCCTTGACAAGCATTAAGAGCTGTGGGGAAGGAATGAATGTGGATTCTGAGGAGATAGTCAACAAATATCCTCTATATTAAAGCAATATGTTGCAATAAAAAAACCAACATGCTAATCATAATGGATTAAAGGACGTTCTATATAAAAATATATGACAAAGAGTAAACACTAATATCTCCAAAGAAAAATGGGCAAAGTGCATAAATAAGCATAGAAAGAATATAACTGGCCAATAAGTATGTGAAAAGGCACATAATTTCATTAGTAATCAAAGAAATGAAAATAAAAACTGTCAACGTCATACTGCTTTTTGTGTAGTTAATTGAATAAGTA